TGTACTCCTTCATTCCTGAAAACCAAAAGGAGATGAGCAATTTGGCTTTCTCTATGAGGATTTCCATTTTTGTGGCCTACCAGAGCACCTAGGAAAGTAGCGGTTCTGGTGAAAGTCACCTGCCTATTTACCTCCCAAGAAAGAATAGGGCAAATTTCAGAGCCACGAGTAACTTCTTCCATTGTGAAAGTAAGTATACTGCACCACTGAAAATAAACAGACACTAGACAACGTGCTTCTACAAAAACTTTGGACATGTCCCTCGAATCCATCAAAACTATAAAGTCCCTCATGACAAACCAAAAAGGGAAAAAGAAAAAAAAATGTGATCTTACTCAGGCTACCATAGTGAACATAACGGATGTTCACATTATGAAGTGGTAAAAAGTCCTTTGCAAACAACAAAAAGGGCAATATTTCACCAGCTTTTGATTTGGTGTTGTTACCAGATCACACTCTTAAGAAGCAGTTTGAATCATTTCAAACAGGAAGGAAAGACCAAACAATTGCTCAGGAGAAAACTTAGACAAGAACATCTCAAACCAAAACCGCATTGCCTTTAGTGATAAAGAAATTCAAAAAAGAAAAAAATGAGATTAAGCTCATTGTTCTCGTAACTCCTTGAATCTGAATTCCCTCTGCCACGTGTTTTGTGATCACGAATGTACAACGATCAAAAGCAAGCTAGATACAGTTCTGTAATACTGGCCACACTTGTTATTTTTGATTCTTCTGCAAAAAGGTGGAACAAACCTAGATCCTTGGCCAAATTTTAAGGACCTTGAGACTTAAATAATAAGAAAATGTTTAAGATTTGGCTGCTATTTCCAATAGCTCCTAGCACCCATCATTCCTTAAAGATACCTACAATATCCATCACCCTTCGCAAGAATCTCATGTTGCGAATGGCCTGAGGCCATTCTTCAAAACATATTAACAAACCTAAATGGAAATTACATAGTAAGAAAAGTTTATATCAAGACAAACAGATCTGGTATCAAATTTCTTCCATCTTCCATGAGACTTTTAGCACAGTTTATCATAATTTTGAGATAAGGTTACATTTATGTTTGAAGAGTTCTGAAAGGCATTGAAAAAATTATTTCAGAAAGCTACTGAACAAATTCAGAAGGAAAAATAGGAGTCTGTTTTTCAACCATATATATATTTATTTATACATATATATATGTATATATATATATATGACTTTTTACTGTCCGAATGGCCAGTGGTATTAGACTCTGGTCTAGATAAGTTCCATCATATTTTCTACTCTGATGTATCTTAGGAATAGAACCCCAAGGACCTGCCCTTCATGGTGTGGAGGGATCAAACTAGCAGCTTAATTGGGCATTCCCTGTCCTGTAGACAAGTGCAGATAGCCCTGTAACACATTTAGAATCAGTACATGAAAGCTCACCTAGCTGGTTTCTTCCCACGTGTAAGAAGCTAGAAGTCCAGACAGACCTTGACTGAATGCTTACCTCTTCTTATTCTTCTGGGTAAATTCTGAATACAACTCAGAGGCCTTGATGGGCACTGATAGAGAGAGTCTACCTACCTCATAGTCTCTAATGTATAATTATCTACTTGGTTGGTAATATAAAAGCTATCTCACTTTGGAGATTGAATTAAGACTTCAGTCTGATTTGAATCAACTTTCAGGACTTTACTCCAGGTCCCCAATTCAACTTGTGTCATACTCCCCACAGCCCAAGGCAGAAGTGCCTGGCTAATCAAGCTAAGCATTTACAGGAAGAGCTGCATATGAAGACACTTGGAAAAGCAAAATATTTAATAGCTGATAAAAAAAATCATCGACATGGAACTTAAGAGGTAAATGCATCCAGGTAAGCACCAGGCATCTACCATTTGGAGCATGTATGTAAAAATAATAAAAAAGAACATGGGAGGACTCTAGAATAAAAAGCAACATGAATTTCTCTGCAAGAGAGAAGTATACCCATGCCACTGGCCTTTGAATTATTTCAATCTTATACTTTCCATTGCTTAACGCCTTAAGTTCTGTACTATCTTATTATTTATTTATTTATTTTTAATTTTTATTAGTGAGACACCATAAGGTACAGTTGTAGACTTACAAATTTTTTGTGCTTGGGTTTCAATTATACAATGACCAAATACCCATCCCTCCACCAGTGCCCATTTCCCACCACCATGGATCCCAGTATCCCTCCCACCCCCCCCAGCTACTTTTAACAAGAGGTTTGTTCACTCCCATAGGTTACATTATAGACTGAAGACCACAAATTTATTTCAAGTTCAATTTTTCGGTTTTCAAAATCACAAACTTAAGTGCAAACATTCCTCCATGACTCCAAAATGGAGATATATGTCATATGGCTAAAAGATCTTCAGCTCCAAACATTATGAAGTATGAATTTTGTCATTTTAGCCAGCAAATGGAGATACTGCCCAATTTGAAAAGGACTGCCTGACAACTCAAGGAAGATGTTTTTAGTCAGAATACATATGTAGCCCAGCAGATAATGCTTCAGAAAGGCAGGCCAAGGCGAGTTCTCCTTTTCCCAAGAAACTTCCCCTCTTGATCTCAACCCCCACCTCCTTCGGGGTCTGAGGCTCAGACATTTCCCAGACTATGTTCTCTTGCTGGACCCAAGACACAGTCAAGCAGAGAACTGGGACAGAATCAAGTCCCACCACACGTTTTATGAATTACAGTGCCTGGGAGGCATCAGCTTTAAGGAGAGGAAAAGACAGAGATAAAGAAAATGTGCAGAAAGTACATAAAGATAAATGCCTGTAAAATCACTGTTGTTTTAATGCATTCCATATTGAGGAAATAAAAATGTGAATATTCTTGATGATTTAATGGCAAAAGGGTCCAGCTAAAACCTGTTGCCCAACTAGATAATTATGTTATTGTATGCAAATATTTATAGTAGCTGGTCCTGATTTTCAATTATAGGTCTAGGGAGCTGGTTTAGTGCTTGGGGGTAGGGGTCTTCTAAATATGGAGCACATCACTTACTCTCATAAAAGCTAATAAAAATAAGACAGTTCTCCCATGGCCCAGCGGTAATGCCTCTCCACTGACTGCATGAATAGTTTGTGCTATGGGACCAACTTCCTTCTTTTGGTCCATGTTGGAACAGTCAATTTCAGTCATCTGTTAGATCTGGACTCAAGTCCAAACCATTGTTCTTATAAATGCTGTAAACTTTAGCAAGATTTTATCTTTACAAGTTAGTTTTTACATCCATAAAATGGGGATAATGACATTATTAACTAAATTGTATACAGTCCTATAGCTCATGTGCTTTGTAGGATACCTGAAACACTCTGAGTCCATATATAACCTATTGAGATATAATCAGAATTATTAGTATGATAGCGATATTATATCTAGTGCCAACCAGTCTATTGCTTTCCAGAGCAATAAACAAGGAGTCAAGAAAAATCTGTTATAGTTTTGTCTTTTTTTGGCCACAAAGGCAATCACCAAGAGGTTGTCAATACTTTGACTTTTGTACCTATTTAAAAAACATAAAAGTCATTTCTCGGTGATCTCACATAAGCATTTTACAACTTAGGTGTTCCTGAAACATAGTTACAAAATAACTGATTAGACATATCTAAAAGAAGTGGCTTTCTGAACCTGTAGATTGGCAGAATAGTATCATGTTATAAAATTAAAAGACATCTTTTAAGGACTTTATATTTTTCTCAGGGAGAAAATTCTCAACTTCATTTCTAAAACTGATCACACTGAATGAAAATTAGACTCTCCTTCAACTAATGATAAGGTTTTCTTTAAAAAAAAATAAAACAACAATGAGATACTATATTTGAAACTGATGAATTTTAATTAAGAATTAACCTATCCATCTAATATGGTCATTTAAATCAAGAATTTATTGGTGCACTCAATTCTTTATAATGATATAACCATCTCACTTTACAGGGGGACTTTTTACTTAAAAAGTATGACATATTTTAGTAGTTTTTAAAGTTAATTATAAAAGAATGTAATGAAGTTCTCACAGCTGGCAGGAAGCAGAGGCAATATTTAAACCTAGGTCTTTCTGTCACTAAATCCATGTTGTTTCCACAAGACTATAGATAGAATTCTGCACATGTTTTGAAGTCTGATAAGGCCTCACAAGTATTTCGATCTGAACTGGCAAACGTTCCCTGATTTATTCAAAATTTGCTGATCTCTTCCATATGTACTGAATCTAGAAATGACAAATTCTGCCTTATTGCTGAAGCAATAAGAAATCCTAGGAGATTATGGAATTATGTAATATTCTTCAGAAATCCCTACCTTATATGAAATATATGGAAAAGCACTGCTAGAATCCTTATTTTAAGAATCCACACTATACAGAAATACAATATAGATATATAATTTATGTGAAAATCTAAATACTCTGAAACCCTTAAATAACTTTTGTCTTGAGAAGAATTTTCTATCGGACAGATCTGTCTTGTTCCCTATTAAGATGTATTTATTTACCAAATTCTTTAAGGAACTTCTAAGGAATAAAACCTCAGATGAATTTGGTTTGATGTGCCCATAGACATCCAAAGGATTAAAACAACTTCCCCCTTTCTCAGTGTTGGATGAATCCCCAAGTATATTCTTTGTTTGAGAAAACCTTAGTTACAAATGCATGTCTTAGACGGGGAAAATAAATAAGGTTTTAGATAGTCAAAGTCTCAATTTCTTACAGGCTTTGATGGCACAAATGCTAGATTATGGATATCACTCCCAAAAAGTTGCTAATTATTTTCTTAGATACTAAGGAAGCCCATGCACTCTCATTTTCATCCCAATCCCTTGTGAATATTCCACAGAAACACATTATTTCTAATACACCATATCCCTCCCACAAAACTACTTTCCAACTTGAAATATATACATGCACTCCAAATCCATCAAGACCTGCAACAGGCAACTAAACAATCAGTGTTCACTCATTGCCAACAATTCAAAACACGGCTGCAAAATTTACCTCTCAAGTTCTGCAATCTTCTTGTCCTTGTCATTCTTTTCATTCTCCACCTCCTTGAGGATCTCTAGCAACCTGTCGACCTCTGCTTGGGCCTTGCCACACTCATCACGGTAGTAAGACGCCTCTTTATCGAGCTGTTTTATTCGGTCTGCAAACTCGGGATTCATCCTGGAGTCATCTTCAATATTATGAGCCTTCAATATTATATTTGTAAAGAGTGTAGTTAAGACAACAATTTAGAACAATAGACATTGCAGTCACCAAAGGCCAGAAAATGACATTAAAAAGAAAAACAAAATAACCACCAAGAATTATGGGTATACTGTCAGTTAAAAAGGAAAATAGGAAAATCACAGATTTCAGCTACCTTAAAACAATGAGGATTTTTAACCACATTATACATGCACAGGGTAGTACTTCTATAATTAATATTTTCTTTAATTAAGTAAAGACTTGTTGTTGTATTTACCCCCAGTTAAGACATGGGGAATGAGTAGTGGTATAAACTATGATGGAGTTATTCCTGGTTATTTGGCAAGAAAATCCAAGACAACTCAATTACTCACAGTTAAGGAGGTGATCAATAACAATTGCTTTAATTTTGAATACAGAGAAATTGAGACAAAATCATATTAGATTTTTTTCAAGAAACTGTTAGTAGCCAATATAAAGCCAGATTATGTACAATGGTATACTGATCATTGAACACTCCATTCCACTGAGAAAAATTCTTGGAAAAAAAGGCTTGGAAGTAAGTGAGGAAGGACTTTTTTTTTTCAACTAACAGTCATACGCATGAATTCTTTTCTCTAGATTAACTTTCACCTGAACCAGGATGATGAGCTAATTCATGAACAAGCACACAGAATATCTGCAAACACATGCATGAGTAAATGGCAGCGTTACACACAAGAACAGACACAAGCAACAACACAGCAACAACACTGCAGAATAATTTTCAGCCAATGTATATGTGGTTTTGTGTGTGTGAGAGTGTGTTATGGCTTTTATTTTTCCCCTAAAATCAACATTTGGCTGAAATATTCCCGGACAGATGGAAATAACACTGCACTGCAATGTTTTGCCTACCCCTTGTTTCCCATTATTCCTAATTGACTTCTTCAAAGAGCAGGCAGGGAAAAAACAAGTAGTTTAACAGTGCACATTCAACACAGAAAGTTCAGAGAAGTCATGTCGATGTATGTATCTCCAAAATCCATGTGTGAAATAATAAAATGTTAACAATTTAATAGAACTTAAGTTGTTCTGCTGTCTTGCTATGTAAAACAGATGTTCATTGTGTGTTTTATATTTTATATGCTTTTTTCAATTTCAGGGAAAAAGCAAGGCAAGCAAGATATAACTACTGTGGGGTCAAATGAATCATGCATCGTTAGAAAAATTAATACTACTACTACTTTTAGAAGGTTGACAATCTTTGCAATGACTTAGTAGAAAAAATTCAAATATTAGTATGAATAAAAATAAATCTTATTTATGACAAAATAATAATTTTTGAATAATATTTTGCTTGTAACATATTATTTAAGCATGAGGATAGAGGGAGAATAATTTTCTTTCACATCCTTTCATCTAAAATTGTCTGATTTAAGAAATGAAATCAACTATGCAGAAGAATTTAGAAATATATACATATCCATACCAAAAAATATATCAATATATTATCAGTTACTGGTTTATACCCTTTTGCCAACACTTATTTAAAGAACACTTATTTATTTTTATTTATTTAAAAAATATACAAGGTTTCATTTTAATAGGTTACTGAGTTTTCCAGAATAATTATGTTAATATAAAATAGTACTGATATTAGATAACTTTAGTAGTTTATAAGATAAAATTTTTATATTTTATATTAAATTGAAGTAATTGCTATACAAATTCATTATTAATCAATTCAAAATGTAATTACTATTTTAAAGGAAAATAACTGCTATATACATACCTACTTTTGTGATAAGCATGTTTATTAATTTATTGCTTTTATAACAAAAGTATTTAAAATAAAGCTTTAAATTTTTAACAAAAATTTAAGTGTTCAAGTAAATTCTCTTCCATTTTTATACTATATTACCACCATTTTTATGGCAGCTAAAAACCTTTTCAAGACATTTCTCTCAAACTACCTAACTGATGGTATTAGGCCCCTTAAAAATAATTAACTGATGACTGGATAGAGAAACTGTAGATATTCACATTGGAAAACTACTCGTCTATAAGAAAAGATAAAATCATCCAATCTGTTGCTATATGGAGGGTATCAAGCTGAGAATGACATATAAAGAAAGATCTATCTTGGAGCTGGAGAGATAGCATAGCAGATAGGGCGTTTGCCTTGCACATGGCCGACCTGGGTTCGATTCCCAGCATCCAATATGGTCCCCTGAACACTGCCAGGAGTAACTCCTGAGTGCAGAGCCAGGAGTAACTCCTGTGCATAGCCAGGTGTGACCCAAAAAGAAAAAAAAAGATCTATCTCGTATGTGAATATAAAGAAATGTAATAACAAAGAGGCAAAGAAAACAGAACATGATTGCTGCTCTACAGAACTGAGTGCTTCCTGTTGGGTGGTGGGGAGCAGGCTGAGGATTGGGAAGGAGAGAACCTTGAGATGAAATTGAGGGAAGTAGGTATTCATGGACCCTGCAATTAACAATATTAAAAATCTTGGTGTCTCAAAAAAACTGAAAAAAAAAAAAAACTGTGCAGGGTGGGATGGGGAGATGGGGGTGGGAGGGATACTGGGACCCGTGGTGGTGGAAAATGGGCACTGGTGGAGGGATGGGTACTTGATCATTGTATAACTGAAACCCAAGCACAAAAATTTGTAAGTCTACAACTGTACCTCATGGTGTTTCACTAATAAAAATTTTTTAGAAATTAAAAATAAAATCAACCAGATATAATCTGCAAAAAATATAACTGCAATATACAAATGTATGCACTCAAAATTAATGAATAAATATGTTTTGGTAGTCTATTTCTGACAAACTCAAATTTCCTTTTTGACTCTGATTTAAAGATTCACAAAAGTTAACAATACTTAATACTAGTTTATTTTAGTCAGTATCTATTCTTTTGTTATCATCAGTACAAGAATTCAAGTTGTGCGACTAGATTCTAAATCTAGCACTAAGTTTTATACTATGCACAAACAGATTGGTTTCTCTAAGCTACAAAAACAACAAAAAGGATGATACAGTTGTGCCAAATATCTCAGGGAACAAAACAAAAATAAAAACCCAAGAAGTGAATATGATTAAAGGACTTGTGGGACATGTAAAAGTATAAAAAATATAGGGTGGGGGATGTCTAAGTGTAAACTATAGTACATTCCTGACTAAATATGATTCTGAAGTTAGTTTGTTTGGTTAAAACAAATACCATCGACAAGTTCACAGTTGGTCTGGTGTCTATTTAATAATATAGGTGGGTGCAATGATTCTTTTAAAAGGGAACCTACAAATTCAAGAACCGTTTTGATTTAAATATCAATATGTGCTGGAATCTCAGAAGAGGAATGCATCTCAAATCATCTTCAATATTGGTTTAAAATTTCCTAGTAGGTTTATTATGGTGTTTTTAGTAGATAACACTTAAGTCAACTGAAAATTTTAAGAACAAGTGAGACACACATGGAAGAATAGCCACTGCATCTGAGTCATTACTAGAATTCATTGAAGACTCAGTGGAAAACAGTTTTATGTGATTTGAATATGCTGATACACATATACATCCTGAAGAGTAGAAGCAAAAGACTCCATGGAATTTATCATTTATTTCAAGTTACTAGCTTGTTCAGCCAGAATCACAATTTTTCAGGCCATGGGTTAAAAGCATTAGACAGAAGCCTGAGTGAGCTATATAGTGTTCTATGGGGATGTTAAAAAAAAAAACACAGGAGGAAATTGAGCTTATAATATCAGTAATTCCTTCAAAGTTAGAGTGCTAGAGCCTCCTCTAAAATGGAGTGAAGGAAGCACTTAATTTGTATTTAGGCAATACTCTTGCCTTTTCAAATTATAACATTGGCTCTTTAATCTGAACTGGCAGCACCTAATGGGGATCAAAAGTAGATAACAGATTTGAGCCTAATGTATTTTAGGCACAGCAGAAAAGTAATAGGTATATTTGAATAAATTATCATCTGAATCAAGCCAACCAAAACATTTTGACACATTCAAGATTTAAACTAAAGATGTACAGTAATTATTTCCCCTTATGGGTCTGTTGGTTTGAAATTAGATTCCCCACAAGGTGCAGGAAGCCCTAGTTCATTCCATTCTTCTAAGGCCTATCAGCTTTGACCCCTTTCTTTACTATGGAGGAATCAGACTCGAGTAGACAAATTGGTGTGATTTTCTTTTAACCATTTTATAACTTGTTTTTATAAACACAAACAAGAACGCATTGTCACTTTTAAAGACATCCACTAGTTGTTAAGACCAATGGAATATCAATGAGCACTCTTTTCTGAAAGTAGTGATTTAATTTGACTGATTTAAAAGCAAACCCATTCATCTAGGTCTGCCTTAAAGTATTTCCGGTAATTCTAAAAGCAACTTCCAAGCATCTTATAGAAACACAGACAATTGAGAAAAGAACATTTTAGTAATGTCTGTGTTATATATTAGATCAGTACATTTTAGAGTCCCCTAATTATGTTTCTTGCATTTCCATCTGTGAGGAAATTTCCCCACAAATGGGAATAATCAAAACAAAGTTTGGAGCCTCACTGATGTGGGCAAGCCTCAACATTTTGATGTCAACTGATTTTGAAAGCCTGAGTGAAGCACAAAAGAAAAATTTGGTCATGACTCAGGACAAGTAGTACGTAACAATACCTAATTTTTTTTTTAGCTAAAGAATTTTGAACCATTTCCGGAAATGAGGCAAAATTTCATATTAATGTATCTAAAATAAAGTGCAAAAAAAGGATAAAGTCAAACCAGATATTAATAATACCAACATGACAAATTATATTTATTTGCACTTTCCTTATAAAGATAAGTCATTGATTGTTTTCAGTAAAATGCTAGTTCATTGCTCCAAGTAGCCAGAAAATATTATTTTTGCCCCCAAAACCTACTGGAAATGAGGCAGGATAATATTCAATTGGAGGACTATATGACATTCTGTCTTTTAAATGGGCCCTAAAATTTAATTAAATTAAAAATTATTTCTCCCAAAATAAACACATTATTAGTCATAACCATGAATTATAAGTAGAATACTAATGAATTTGATGATATTTCTTCCACGCCTCTTAATGGTTCTAGTAACACTTTACTAAATTTATACACTATAAAAATACAATTAAATTGCAGCACTTTGAGAGTTTAGTGTCTGTTAAAAGTGCCTTAACATTCCTTGCATATCTTAACAGTAGAAGAGGGTATATAAATTACTCTAAACATTATATTTGATTTCAATGTTCTGAAAATGTTTCAATTTGGCACAATTCTAAGCTATGAATCAGATATTACTTTTTAAAATAAAATTTTAAGGGAACTCAGAACTGTATTATATTGGAAAATTTAAATTTTAAAAATACAAGTAATGAATGTCAAATAAAATAGCTGAACCTAAATAATACATATATAGAAACTATATATCTTTGAATTTTATACTAATTCTAAAGGAAAATAACTTTTTTAAACAACTCTACCTAACTACATAGCACTGTCCTCCCGTTGTTCATCGATTTGCTCATGTAGGCCGAGTAACGTCTCCATAGTGAGACTTGTTACTGTGTTTGGCACATTGAATACGTCACGGGGAGCTTGCCAGGCATTGCCCTGCGGGCGAGACACTCTCAGTAGCTTGCCAGGCTCTCCAAGAGGGGCGAAGGAATTGAACCTGGCTCGGCTGGGCCAGCTGCACGTAAGGCAAACACCCTACTGCTGTGCTATCACTCAACTACATACAAAATATTTATAATTTTCAAACAACAATAACTATCCTAAAATGAAACTTATTTTAAAAAATAGTATTTGGAAGCTAAATATTCAAAATAGTTTCTTTATCTCATACATACACAAAATAAAAAGAACCAACTGCACGCTTAACACTTTATGGAACCTGGCAAGCTATCAAAAGTATCACACCCGCACGGCAGAGCCTGGCAAACTCTCCTTGGCGTATTCAATATGGCAAAAACAGTAACAAGTCTCACAATGGAGATGGTACTGGTACCTGCTCGAGCAAATCGATGAACAATTGGAGGACAGTGCTACAGTGCTACAGATGATCTAAAATAAAGCATGTATGTAATTTCAATTCTTGAATGCTATTTAAAATATTATTTGAGTTCTGTACTGAATATCTGAACCAAGTATGAGTTGTACATGTTTGTGCTTGTTTGTGCGTTCAGTGTCTGACTAAATTATCCCTCAATAATTGGATTTTCTCATTGCGCCCATGAGTCTATAAAGGGTACAATATGCGTAAATAGGAACTAATACTCAATTGAAAAAGAAACTACTAGACAATGACTGTGAAAATATTTATTATTCAGCCCACCTGATGCCTGGGAGAGAACAACTATGATCGAATTTAAATCAAAAAGGACCTCACTAACCATCACAAGAATTTTTTCTATGTGAACTGAAAAATTATTTGGTCATTATTCTTGTAAACTCTTAGATAAATTGTGAGCTCTGAAAATGATGTGTTTGCAAAAGAGATGAGATTTCAATGGAGAGAGACCCAGAGATGGCTGTGGAGGGATTCAAATGGAGAAACATCAGAGAGGATTCAGCTATGCCTAGGCAAGTACAAAGACTGCCCAGCAGAGCCACAAAATCAGTCATTTGCCTCACAGCAATGAGACCAAATAAGCAACAGATATTGATAAAATAAAACTGAAGCTCACAAATTAAGACATTTATCCATGTGAGGACTTAGAATAGAATAAGGTGATATCAAGATTCATTATTATACAAAAAATTCTTTGACAAATAGTGCCAGAATAAACTATTATTTAGAAAAATATAAAGTTAAATCTTACCACTCAATATGAATCAAGATAATGTGGTCAAAGGATAAAAAAGAAACATTTAAAAAATTAAATATAGTGCCTAGTCTTAAAACTAGAGGTTAACTCCTAAGCAAAATGGCAATAAGTAAATACAAAGTAGGCCTACATGATACTACAGTGGGTAGGGCATTTGCCTTGTACATGGCCTTGAATCCCAGCATCTCATAAGGTCCCATGAACACTGCCAGGAGTAACTGCTGATTGCAGAGCCAGGTATAACCCCAAGCCCAAAACATGTGTGTGTGTGTGTGTGTGTGTGTGTGTGTGTGTGTGTATAATAAAGAGAAACAGATCAAGAACTTAAAAAGAATTCACTATACACAAAAATTTTGGTTTGATGCAAATCAAAGATTCTGCATAAACCATAAAAGAATTTAAAGCAATAAACAAAATAGTAAACTCAGGAGCAATTCAAGAGGAACAACTGAATTAACTAAAATAAATGTGTTAAAAATCTTCAACCATTCTGGTAATGAAAGAATTAAAAGTTAAAATGAAAGAAAACTTCTACTTCTGCATTTGTCAAATTTATGTAAATAATGACTCTTGGTGTTAGTTGTGGTATGGCAAAATGGCCACCTTCGGATAGCATTAGGGAAAAAATGTGCCTTCTCTGTAACAAAAAAGATAGCTGGAACTATTGGAGTGTTTCTTTATTCATTATCCCAAGAGTCTGTTCTTAAAAAAATATTAAGTGAGGAAATTAACATGGAAAGAAATTCTTCAAACGCTTTCTATACTGGGAAAAAAATAACGGAGGAGAAATAACCAGCATTAGGTGAATGGTAAATAGAGGAGGAATACTGGACATTCAAATAGCAATTTGGAAGAATATTTAACTACATGAAAAAAAGTATTTATGCACCATAAAATAGGATATAAAACTGAAGAAACTATGATATTACTTGATGAAAAGAAAGAAGGTATCAAATTAGAAAAAATATCAAATAAATAAAAAGGAAGGATAAAAGATGAAAAAAGGAAAGGGAGGAAAGGAAGGTAGCGGGGCTGAGGCAAAAAAAAGAGGTAAGAAAATAGTTACGACCAAAAAATGTCTGGGTGAAAAACAACCCAAGTGTTTCTACTGATTATCCTGTGCAGATATGTCAGTTTATTTTATTTCCTTCTATCTCTTTCTATACTTCTGCATATTCTCCACTGTGACCATATATTATTTTTATAACAAGAACAAAACAGTCATTTTTAGAAGACTATTAAGGACAGAAAATCCATCATGCTGCATCTATATCAGCTTAAATAAGAATTGGACCCTGAGAATAACTGCAGACACAAAAATTAAAATAATGAGGATTTGGCTACATTCCCAGGATCCCAAAACAATGGGTTAGTTTAATTAACTCAAGGAGAAAAGTCTGTTAACAGCTTTTGAATTAGTCACCTACAGCACTGGAAAGTTGGTTTTTCCATCCTAGAGACCCATCACTGGGGTGAAATGAAAGTTAAATTCAGTTATTGCACTGTCATTGTTATTTCTGGAAATTTTCTAAGAGTTAAGAGTTATTTCTTTGACCCCACCTATCCTGCCAAGGATGGTAAACTCCAGTTGTGCTCCTGCTGCAAAATCAAGGCAGGTTGTCCTGAGCATGCCCAGAATTGACAAGGTTTCTCCCTGTCGTGAACTAGCAAGTGTGAAACAATTTCATTTGGATTGCCTTACACTTTTGTAAAATTATCTAAAGAAAACACGCATTTTCTCAAGGGTCAGTCTGCAAGCTGGAAAATGTTCCCCAACTTAATTGTTTTTCTTCACCTTCCAATTGTCTTAGCCTGCTTATTAACATTTCCATCTAAATGTTAAGAGAAAGAAAATTTGAATTATTTTCACTGTACTGCTAAAATCATATTTAGGGAGTTGGGTCAATAAGGACAATCCAACAAGGTTTAAGGAATTTTGTTTGAAACGACAAAAATTTGTTTTAAAGAAAGGAGGTGGATCCTGCCTAATTAAACAGAACCAAACGACCTATGTATCATGCTATCTGTATCCTGGAACAGCATCTTAAAAACAGCAACAATTTCAAAATTTGTTGGCCAAATAATTTTATGTGTGCTATTCTCTTTCTCAATGGTGGGAATTTATAGACAGGAGGCAATTAGAATGGATTTTGTCAAACAAAAAACTCTTATCTTTATAAATTATTTCTTCCAGTGAGTCACTTAACAACAAAAATATCCTTAAACAAGTTACAGAAATGCTTCATATAAATGCACACCTGTCATTAGGATAAAAGAAATTAGTGGTGACATCTGGAACAACTATACATATATATATATATACATATATATATGTATATTTAGGAGTTCCTTGCTCTGGTACCTTTAAGTTATAATAAAAAATGTTACTATTTGTTATTAGGATGCTACATTTTACTCTGTCTTCAGCAAAATAGCATGCATTTACCTCTTATAAAGTCCACAATAATGTTATTTATAGTCTCAAGAAGCATTGTTCTATTTTTAAATCAAAACTTACTTTAACTTCTATCACTGAATATAACATACACTGAGTTGTTTGTTGGTCTATAAATGCTCTACCTGGCATAGGTAAGTGTTGAAGGGTTTCCAAAAGAATTACATGAGCTTTAACTTGCAGTTGATCTCTGCTTTTCTACATAAAGTTAGCAAGGAGGTAATATCAGAGCTAAAAATAATTTCTTGAGTTCTTAATTTTTTAAAAATTTCATATTCAAAAGAAATGGCAGTGGTCTTCGCACAGGTCATTTCCTTTGATAGATATGGAAAGACTCATAAAAATTTTTGAAATCTTCCCAGCATAGCTTATTGTGAAACGTTATCAAATGGATCCTCATGCTTTGATATGTTACAGCGGAAACTTTCAGAAGTGACTTACTGGATTGTACATCTGATTGAACAACTGCTCAGCTTGCTACATTGCAAAGTTGGGGAGGCATTGAAGCACAGACAAGGAAAGAAGGAAAAATCCAGAAAAACAGTATTAGCTCAACAAATCCAGTGCATTTGCACAGACAAACTGAACTGGTCATTTAAAAAAAGAAATTTCAGTTTCTAAACATTCCACAGTGAAAGTAAGAGACTCTGGGGAAATAGAAATGTTGACTTTGGCTCCTAAAAAAGAATAGCTGGAATAAGAAATTTAAGGTTTGTGTTACTTTGCCTTTCTCAAGTTAAATAACCCATGAAATAAAGAAAGCTGTCCACTTTTGATGATACATGAAGTGCTGGCCTCTTGCAATGAATCAGAAGTACTTTTGGCCAAATCTGCAATTTATTACCTGAACTTAAAAGATGGTAATAATAAAAGATTAATTAAATCTTATCATTAAATATAGTTTTTTAAAAATAACACAAGAGTGGATTTTTATTCAGTCTAACTTGAGAAAAATAGAGCAATAGCAAAATTATCAGTAAAGTAGACATATAGGATTAATAGTAAATGGGAGAAGAAAAAAATTAGTCAGCAGAAAAATAGAGGGAACAAAAATATAGTATTATTCATTGCACTTTACCAGTATTTACTGGTTATAATAATAAAATACCTATCTAGAAACTTTTCTACTTGGCTTTTAAGTGTGTCAGATTCTTTACTAATCTACTCCCTATTTTGTTTAGGTTTAAATGTTTGTGAATTTTAATGCAACAAATATGACCTTAAATGCACTTTCAAGTTATATTTCTTAAATAACTATCATTAACATGGTACTAAATGTCAGTATGTAGAAAGTGGCATTACAAAATTCTTTAATTTGCTTAAAGCTACCATATTTATGTCTTTGAAAAGTCTTGATTTCAAATAAATGATTTAATAAATTAGTTAAAAGTAATTTTACGCAGTTGAAAAAATAACCTCTTTAAAAATATTAATTAAATTTTTTTCAAATATCACACATCATACCATTTTAAATTTCTGTTATTTATCAATTTATTTCTAGTCACATCACATAAATATACTTTTGCATACTGAATAGCAAATACTCTTCTGAAAGACAAAATGATTCACACATATCTAATCAGGTTCTTCTCAATCTTTAAGTGTCAATTTGAGATTAGGGAAAATTCTTAGTTAAAGTGAATTCACAAACAGTAGTTCTGTGTTATTTGGTTAGTATCATTTTATCAATATTACTAATATAGGTAAAGCTCTCATACCAGAATATTTGATTGCATTTTTTAAAAATATGCAGTTGAATAATCAACAATTTTTCATCACAAAGAATTTGGAAATGTCAAATAACAAGACTATAAAGAGTAAAGGGTTAAAAGCAACTATGTGTATGAATATTTTCCACAAACTTCCATGTTAAGATTCACCCTGACGACTTCAAAAAGGGTTCATATGACAAAAACAAGTTTAAATTTCCACTTGCATTCTCTTGTTACAGATAGACAAGGTTTCTGTTCATCTAAACACATCTATGATATTTATGACAAAAATACCTGGGTACTCACAAATCTTGAGCAAAATTCCACTAGGAATTCATGGCTTGTTTATGACATAATAAAACTATATGTTTTCAGCTTTCATTTAGTAACCCTTTATATTTTATTCACAAGTCACATAGACTTTTATTTAAGAGGAGGCACAGACACTTCTTAGGCTTTTATAGCTGCTTATTTTTCCATGAGTAAATGATGTGTTTATATGAATATTCACATACTGTTGGCTTATATTTTCAAATATTTCATGTAGATCTCAATTCTTTTTAAGGTGATGTGTACTTGAGGTTTTTACGAAGCTATTTATTAACAAAAATTAAAGACTACTAGAAAAAGAATTTTAAACATTTGAATTTAGTTGATGCTAGATAGCCAAAAGTAACAAAATAGTATTTGTAGGTTAGGCATAAAAATGTTTAAATTATAATTACCTTATTTAATCTCACTCTACTATGAATTTAGAAGATAATATAAGCAAAGTCTATTTATACACATAGAAAAATTATCTTTTCGTAAATAGATCCTTTACAGTAAGATAATCGTATTTGTTACATTAATCCTGGTGATGTAGCACAATATTAAAATGTCAGAAATGTGCTAAAGTGCTTACATAACCGGGCTTGTAAATTTCAGTTCACAGTATCTACTTAAGAGTCTAGAGGGCAGTACGCGCTCTAAAGGATTTTAGATCAACCACAGCTCTGCTGAAAGAAACTACACTGACTTGCCTAAATGCTAATTACTTAAGATATAAGCATCAATGAGCGAACCTCTTGCTTTGAATTACTTAAGAATTTAAAATTCTATGGGTAACTTTCACTGAAAGGGAGATTGTCAAGTATATAGCTGCAGACAAGAAAATATGGGTGGCCTCATTTCTACTGTAACACCTCATAGCTTAAGAAGAGCAATTTTCATGCCCAGATACATCTGAGGGCTTATTTCATGTCTCAGCATGCTGCAGTTAAGGTAAGACTATACATATAAAGGATCACCATAGGGAGTTAATGAAACTCTCTTTTTAAAAATCAGCTTAGAACCTACTTTATGATCATATAACTATTCATTAAAACAGTATTTCACAGGCTTATTTCTTAATATGCTTAATATATTACAGAACATAACAGGATGTATCTTTTTTTTCTGTTTCGTTGTAAAGGGTTTTGATCTGTACTGTATACTTATCTTTTTATCTATTAGTATGAAAGCTTCATTAATATACAATTTCTCAAAACAATGTGCTAAAGTTGTGTTATTAAGTGAGCATGGTATAGCCACATTTCAGTTATATATTTAAGAGGACAAAATCACATACAGTAACTTTTAAAATATCCAGAATAATTTCTCCACAGATATATGATGTTTTCACATCACTATCATCCATATCATATATTTTCATAACTTTAGCATATAAATCCCCATTCCAGTGTGCTATGAATTACACAATGTCAAATTTTATTACATGCTCTATTTGATTGCTTCAGATTCTTATCCTCTCTTTTGAATAAGTTTATAAGTTGTCAGAGGGAAACAAAATGCTTAAACTCATAATGTTATGAGTTTTATGTAAACAATGAGTGCAGACGTACCAAACAACACAGGGAAAGAGTCAAAGGAATGATGCATGACTGGAAATGTACTCCACAAAAATGTCCAGGTCAGAGAAAACATGTTAATGCTGCGATATAGATGCTATTTTCTTTCCCATAGCTTTTCTGCATACAACAAGATTTCTTAGAAATCAAAGCCATTTTTGGTCAAGTATAGTCATCCCACAGATATTCTATGGAGTTGACTGTTTTAACAAATGTCTACAAACAGCATTGCAGGGAAACTTTTGTAAAGCCCTGGAAACAAAAATTAACCTACTTCAGAAAGCAGGAAAGCTTATCAACATTTAATGGGACCCCTGAATTCTTCGGTCTGTTGCAAACATTGCCATTTATCTTTTTTGATGGCTGAGATTTGTCCAGAAAGTAATGGCTGAATTTTATAATATTTTTCACTTATATTACTTTCATCTACTTTTTCAAGTTGTTTTCAGACAGGAAACTTAAGATAATTTTTCAGGTTCACAGACAGATTTGATGCAGGCTTCTCAGAACTAAAGTTAAAAGTGTTTAATTAATTCTGTTATCAGCAGACAGCAAAAGATAAGGGGTTTGTTTCCTTTGAAAAATGTCTCTTCCTTCCCAGTTTGTAAATTCATTGCAAAATGAGACTTTTTTTTTTTAGACATCACTTACCTTTTTTAACTGTGCTTCCAATTTGCTACATTCTTCTTTCTTTTGTTCGATGGCTATTTCTAGAGATTTTAATTTGGAGTCCCTTTTCAGCCCTGCAGAGGCTAATGAAGATGCATGTTCTTTGAGGTCAATTAAACTAGACTGAAAGGAAAAGAACACTAGTAGGTAAAGCACCGCAATTGTTACAAGTTGTGTCTTTAGTATGAATACATGATTCAATACATAGCAATAAAGTGTGTATTAGAAAGAAAGGGTAAATATAGTCTTACTAAGGTAACAATAGTCTGCTCTGGCCAGGAAATTAAACTTGGCCAGCTTACAGGACTAAGAAGTGTCTAATTGCAGCCGAAGCAAATAGTGTGGTCAATAAATGTATATTTCACATCACTAAGTCATGCTAATGATGTAAGTCCCAAGGTGGTCTTTACATGTCACGGCAAAACAGACACTCTGAACCTTCCAATTATATTTACTGCTGTCAGGTCCTGCAGACTCTAAGACAAATATGAAAGAAAACACCAACTTTAATAATCCCCCAAGGGCAAATCAAGTACTAAAGAAACATATTATTATGTTTTATCAAATTCCATTTGTTTAACAGAAAAATGAGGGCTTTTTTTATAAGATCTTCAGTGGGATTAAAGATAAAGTCATTTAAAATTCTATAGTAAATTTTATATTCCAGTCCTTTGTAAATCTAGAGTCAGCAGATATAACGAATGGTCCTATCTCAGACATGAGGTTACCTAAATTGTCCCATTTATCAATCATGTCCAGAAACCAAGAGCTTCCCTGTACGGCTAGAATTCTAAATAGTAAAGAAAAACACTCGCTTATATCGTAGAATATACTTTGCTAGCCAAAAACAATGCCCATCAAAAAAGGAACTTGCTGGGCTGGAGTGATGGCACAGTGGGTAGGGCATTTGCCTTGCATGCAGCCAACCTGGGTTCGAATCCCTACATCCCATCTGGTTCCCAGAGCACCTCCAGGACTGATTCCTGAGTGCAGAGCCAGGAGTAACCCCCTGAGCATCTCTGGGTGTGACCCAAAAAGGAAAAAATAAGGGACTTGCTAGCTGCATCTAACTATATGAACTAAAATGTTTTATCAAAAAACATTTCTATATATTCATATCTTGCACCACTCAGCACGGAGTGATCCCTCGGTAAGTGATATTGCCTGATAATACCTGGCTACTTTACTGGCACTGGAATAACCTTGTTGTTAAGAAAGACACTACTAATACTTCCGAGCAAAGTGCTTGGAATAACTCTATAAGGGCCAGGTTAGTTTAGCGCAATAAGGGCCAGGTCAGTGTAGTTTTCAGTCAGAAAACTGAAACTCATATTGAAAGGAGTGTCTTCTCCAAGGTCCTATGCTACTAGTTGGAAATACAGATCTCTGATTCCAAAAACAATGCTCTTTATTTTATCACCTCCACAAAAATAGTAAGAGGGACTTGTAATCCATTATTTTCGTGATGGTGAAGATGATAAGCTCCTTAATGTCAGTAATTATACCTTTTCTCTAGAAAGCATTCACTGGCCAGTGATTGGTTTATATGTTAACTTAGGCTGACTATAGTCCATGGGTTATTCAAGCACTAATTTTAATGATTCTGTAAAGGTACTTTGCAAATAAACTACAATCAGTTGACTTAGGGTAAATAAGGATATTATCCTGTACTTGGGCTGGAGAGATAGCACAGCAGTAGGGCATTTGCCTTGCATGTGGCCAGCCCAGCTGACCCGGGTTTGATTTCTTTGCCCCGATCGGAGATCCCAGCAAGCTACCGAGAGTATCTCGCCCACACGGCAAAGCCTGGCAAACTCCCCGTGACATATTCATATGCCAAACACAGTAACAACAAATCTCACAATGAAGACATTACTGGGCCCGCTCGAGCAAATCAATGAACAATGGGAGGACAGTGCTACAGTGCTATTTGGGAGGGCCTCCTGAGAGCCCTTAAGAGCAGTGCTAGGCTTCTCTGAGAAAGAGGAATGTCTACTGTGGACTGTTGTCTAATTCTAAGCTGTGAGATTTAAACCTACCTTCCTGATGATCTGCCCTACTTCCTGGTGAGCCCTCATAACTGCCAGTTCCTTGCACTAAGCTTCTTAATGGAGTTATATTTATTAATATGATTCTGCTTCTCAGAAAAAATATGAACTGATACAATCTTCCCAAGAGCATTATTATGTAAGAAAAATAAATTATTTGCTAAAATATCTATCTGGAAAATCACAAAATACGGGTATTATTTTCATTTAAAGCTTATGCTCTTCTATGTCATCTAAATCTCTTCAATTAGAAATGTCTATTTTGGGCTGGAGTGATAGCAAAGCAGGTAGGGCATTTGCTTGCACGCAGTGAACCTGGGTTTGATTCCCAGCATCCCATATGGTCCCCCGGGCACCGCCAGGAGTAATACTTGAGTGCATGAACCAGAAGTAACCCCTGTGCATCGTCAGGTGTGACCCAAAAAGCCAAAAAAAATTTTTTTAAAGTCTATTTTGATTTTAAGATGCAAATCTATAAATAGTTCTTAAAATCAGTAAACAATGCAACAAATGAAGTTAATGCTTTCTTGTTTTCTAGACCAACTAACATATAATTATAAATCTCCCAGTTTGGACTTGGCCACACAACAGAATTATGAAGACTTAAGTATTTTATTTTCATAATAAGAGAAATAATTTCTCCAAAGACTACTGGGTTTAAATTTTAGTCAATGAGTTGGGCTGGAGCGATAGCACAGCGGGTAGGGCGTTCGCCTTACAAGCGGCCAACATGGCCGACCCGAGTTCGATTCCTCCGCCCCTCTCGGAGAGCCCGGCAAGCTACCGAGAGTATTGGATATGCCAGACACAGTAACAACAAAGTCTCCAATGGAGACGTTACTGGGCCCGCTCGAGCAAATCGACGATCAACGGGAGGGGCATGGGCATGGGCATGAGTTTTGTTTCTGAGTTCCTTCAAGATTCCTATTGCTATCAATTCTTCCTCTCTTTGACTCCTAAGTTAATTTCCAAAGATTCATTGAAACCCAAATAGTTGAGTAGGCAGTGGTAAAGCCCAACAAGGGACAAAAGATCCATCAGAGCCTTCAGGAAAAATTAATAGTTTCTATGGACAAAAACACAGGTGAAGAAACTGAAAATGGACAATGACACATAATCAGAGTTGTGGAGAGTGAATAAATTAATGTTTACTACTGTTTATCATACTTCTGCACCAAAGTACCCCTCAGTAGAATAAAGAGGTTTTATATATTCTCAGTGTATGGGTGTGGCCTAAAGCATCCTCCATAACTCCCACAAAATTTCTTTTAAAGTAAATTATCATACTTTAAAAATGAAAGTAAAATTTGTATTTATATTCATGTTCACAGCTGCATAAAAATAATGTCTCAAATTGTTAAGTATAACATAAAAGGATATTCCATATGCATAGTCATACTTAGCCTGCCCCTTTATGTCATCATGTGTTGTCATCTCCTAATTTGGGTTATATTGAGAATCTCCCTGAGAAACACAAATGAATATGAAGCATCCAACAGAACTACTAGCATGTCATCGGTTCCCAACAGAATAGATCAGTATTATTATCACTAAATTATTATTATTATTATTATTATTATTAATGCTGCCATTGGTATCATTATCAGGAGCTTAAGATCATGAGACACTGAGGGAAAAATCTTTCAAGCTGTGGGGACTGGATCCATAGTACAGATGTAGGATATTTTTGTCTTGCACGTGGCCAACCTGGATTTAATTCCCAGCATTCTGTATGGTCCTCTGAGCACCTTCAGGAGTAATTCCTGAGTGCAGAGCCAGGAGTAACCCCTGATATCATTGCGTGTGACCCAAAAAGCAAAAATAAAAAAATTCTCATCTGAATTATTAAACCTTCTTGAAAAGGAAAGTTTCCCAAGTTTTTCCACATTCCCTCAAAGTCTGTAGTTTATAGAGGCTGAATGAATATACATTCATAAGTATTGTCAATGCTTTTGATAATGCTTTTTTGTTTTTTCCATGCTCACCTCTTTCTCAGTCAGTTCAGCTTGTAAAGCATTGACCTTTTCTTTAAGGTCTTTGTTCTCTTTTCGGAAGGATTCTATCTCTTCTAGCCTTTCCCGGTCATCTCTCTCTCGCTGTTCTTTCAAACGCTCAATTATTCTCTCCTATAATTGAAGAGACAGAGAGAGAGGGAGAGAGAGAGTTAAAGAGAGAGCAAGTGAGCAAGAAAGAGAGAGAGAAGCAGCAAGAATTCATCAGCATATATGCTACAGAATTCAACAAAAGGAAATTATAGGCAATATATCTAAGGAATGCTATAGGAACTAACTCACACAAGATATTAAAAATTGGGATTGTGAAGAGAGGCTGAGGATTACAGTGGATATGTCTTTCCACTTTATAATAAAAGCTAGTGTCATCAATCTGCAAAGAACTCAATCTCTGAGACTATTCTTGGTCCATGCTGGTGCCATTATTGTTCTCAGAGCTATACTAGAAAGGGAAGACTCTAGACTCTAGACTTAAGAAAACCTTGTATGGGCAAGAGGAAGAAGAAAAACCAAAGTTGGACTCTTTGCTTCAGGTTCCATTTGACATAAGAAAAAAAACTGCTATTGGTTTCTGAAGATTCTTCTATAGGTATTGTGAGAAAGAGGGTTAAAGTGTGACATGATCTAGGCCTTCCATGGTTTAGTGTAGCCCTCACAGAGAGAACAGGAAACAAAATAAAGTTCAGTGTATATGTGATTTTACAGTCTGTCTAGAAATATTTGTGTAGGGGCTGGAGCGATAGCACAGCAGATAGGGTGTTTGCCTTGCACACGGCCAACCAGGGTTCGATTCCCAGCATCCCATATGGTCCCCTGAGCACCGCCAGGAATAATTCCTGAGTGCAGAGCCCGTAGTAACCCCTGAGCATTTCTGGGTGTGACCCAAAAAGCCAAAAAATATATATATTTATTTGTGTATGGAGACAAAGAACATGAAAACAGTTTCTAGTAGGAAGCATTTGTCTTGATAGGGTTGGGGAATAGGACAGGGAAAGAGCAAAACCTATGGTGGAGAGAAGCATTCAACTAGGAGAAGTAGGTGGTACTGAATAGTGGTGAAGTGTCATGTGTGAAACACTATCAGCAATTGTACCGTAAATCACATTGCAAAAATGTATGTTAAAAAAAACTTTCAGAGAATACTGGGTGGGAAGCAAATGGCTGTGTGTGTGTGTGGCGGGGCGGGGGGGACATTCATGGAGGGAAGTGGACACTGGTGAAGGGTTTGGTGTCGAATATTATCTGTCTGAAAATAAATCATGAATAACTTTGCAATTTCACAGTGACTAAATAAAAATAAATGAATAAAGAAATGTTTGTTCACTTCTCTATTCTTTCAGTGGTATGTGGGTAATCGTAGAAAACCTAAAATATTGGTTGAATTAGAACAAAGTTGAACAGCACGTTTTCTATATTGAGTGTAATGAGCTTATGACCATTGTTATCATGTGCCTCTTCACAGTAGAGAGATCTGAACCAGAGCTACTGGTAACAGAAAATCAGAAAATCCAGGCCCCAGGCTTACATAGACTAGGAGACCCTTCCATTTCAGCTTATCAACAGAAGTTATACCCTGGTCTCGAAGGTTCTCTGATCTAGCCATGCCCACTAGACCTAAAGCCACAAAGAACTGTTTGTAGCTCATTCAAGGAGAGTTCAGGACTGGTTCCCCCTTTATATCCACCTGAAAGGAAAATACCACTCATTCATTGTTTTCTGTAATGGTGGAACTTTTTCCAATATCAAAATAGGATCTGTTTTATAAAAAAGGAAAATTTGACTTGGGTCATTTGAATTAGATTTCCAAAGTTTGTTTCAAATTACCCAAGATCTATCAATGTATCTGATCTTCCCTTTGGATGACCAATGTTAAAAAATATAGGTTCGGTGGTGAGAAATGTACGCTGTGCTGGAACACTGTATAACTGAAACCCAACTATGCTCAGCTTTGCAACTCCGTACAGTGATTTAATTAAAAAAAGGGGGGGGGAGTAAAAACTGCACTTAAGAATCCTCCTATATCTTTTACATCCTTATAAATACATAGTTCAAGAATATGCTTGATACATTGGACAATTGTAAAATAGTGCTTGTTGCAAAGGGAAGTTATTCTAAACACTTAAGTCTGTGATTTAAGTTCCCCTTGGGAAGAAACTATTCTACCGCAATGACAACAGTTTATGCTTCCAAAGTTTTCAGGGAGGGAAAAAGTACTGTGCTTTGCAATTATTTAAAAAACACTTAAAAATAAATTATTATAATAATGGGGTAGGAACTGAAAATAGAACAAATGAGTACACTAATTGCCTGCATGAATATGTGCTCCTTCTTGAATGTAAGTACAGTTACGACATCAGTAAGTGAATGGTTATATGATCTACAAAATAGGAAAATGGTTTCAGTATATGGAAAGTATCTCAAGGCTTTTAATGATTTCAGCAAAGAAATCCTCACTGTCTTTTGTCTATATTTACTCTAAAAGCTCTCAAATGACCCAATCCACAAGCCTTGTCCATCCCATAACTCTACCACATGACTGCTAGAATGATGTTTTTAAACTCACAACTGATCATGCCACCTTACTCTTTGGAACTTTCTAAGGAACAACTCTGGTCATACCATGTAGCATATACTCCTACTTGACTCTCTTCTCATGGTTTCACCGAGTGCCTGTCTCACAGATAACTTTCCAAAGGGCAAAACGTGAAGGTCTCTCATAACTCAGAACTGGAAAAAATCTCTGACATGTAACATGCAATTAGAAAAAGATGATGGAAGGTATTAAAAACTCAAGGTTCACCTTGACTTCAAAGCAAAGGAAATCAAGTTAAATACGTATGTTAACACACAGAAGGTGTCAGAATCATTTGGAAAGCAGACTGCTCCAAGCACTTGTACTATTGTCTGAGAATTGATGACAAAAAAAATCAGCAAGCACTATGTTTTTAAGTGTTATTGATGATTCAATACTACAAAATATTTCTCCGTCAATCACAAAACTAATCTAACTGTCAGCCACACAGGAGCAGATGTCAAAAACATGTGTTAAAAAGCTCTAATATGCCATGATCTACTTGATTAACAACTAACTTGCAGAAATTTCAACAATGTGTTCTTGTTTTAGTCTTATTTGCATTGGCAAGTGTTCCTTGTACACTGATCTGGCTCTGCACACATCTAATCTATTTGTGCTTTATCACTGGGAGGGACGAATTGCAGTAGCCTCCAGCTCTGCTATCTGCCTTTCTCAACTCCTTATCTGCTATGTGGCTACAGCCAGGCTTGGCTGGACCAGTTTTATAAATACTGTGGGTTCTGTCTCCTAAAGCTTCTGTGTGTCATCCTAGAAGTAGTCATACTCAATCTTAACTTGAAAAGTGGCATTTTTTTTCCTTTTGCAAGCTGAATATTTAAATAAGTTCCTAGAAATAAAAAAGGATTGAGACACTTTTTGGTGTGTCACTGTGCAAAGTGAATGGTGAATAGTGCCTAACATTCTATTCATTGCTCCAAAGACAGAAAACAAGTATTCTCAAGAGTCTAAAATTTTAGATAAATCATTTCCGACTTATTTGTGTGCTCTCTTGTGCCAAATGACACGTTCCATTAAATGTGGATAAATATAAAACTTGTGAGGAAAATGGCATTAAAGGAGATGATGACTTGTTAAAAGCACAAAGTTCAATTTTGAGTTTCAGTTCCCTTCCATCCCTTTGAACTGATGTTTTCTTCAGATAGTCCAAATGATGCAAAAAACAAAAAGTCCCAAACAAGGACCAAGGTGGACCAGAAGTGGCTTCCTGGAATTCCCTGTTGAGAATCTAGCAATGCTATGATTGATTAATGGTGTCTTTCCAGGTACAGAAAGGGTAATGTTTCATCTTCAGGCAAGTCATTCACCTTTTACCAAGCCCATTTCCCATCAAATGGAAAATCACAGATTTAGTGTTCCCCAAACTGTGGTCCTCTAACCATTTTATGTGAAACTCACTGGATAAGAATCTTTAAAACCACAGGTGCCACCGCTGAGCAACTAAATCAGAATTCCTAAGAAATGGAACCCAATAAACTATTTTTTAATTTAATTTTTTTGTTGTTGTTTTTGTTATGGGGCCACACCCAGCACTGCACATGGGTTATTTCTGGCTCTGCACTCAGGAGCCACTCCTAATGGCCAGGAAACCATATGGGACATTGAAGATCAGACACAGGTCAGCCACGTGAATGGTAAGCTGAAAAACATTGTACTATCTCTCTGGTCACAGGAAGCTATATTTTTAAAAGTCCCCTAGGAGATAAGATTATTTGGAGATAGAAAAAAATTGATGGCCAGAGTAACAGTACAGCAAGTAGGGTGTTTCTCTTTCATGTGGTCGACCTGTGTTTGATCCCAAGTAGCCCATATTGCTTCCTTGAGCCCACCAGGAGTTATCCCTGAGCTTGACCTCCAGCATCTTATATGGTTTCCTGAGCCCACTAGGAATAATCACTGAGTGCAGAGCCAGAAGCAAGCCCTGAGCATTGCCAGGTGGGAGGAGGAGGAGGAGGAGAATGAAGAGGAAGAGAAGGATAACGGTTCAAAATATACTACTGGCTCAAACAATTGCATGAGTTCATTCATTCAGAGTAATCTTTCCTGATCAAAATCGAATAACCCCCTGAATGATTTCCCTGGAGAGTCAAAGTTAAATCGCTTTCTTTTTTTCACAACCCATATAAAATCTGTTCTCCTCCTCACACCCTCCCTCAAGCCCCCAGTGTCCATGTCCCTAGCTTGTTCTCCCTCTAGAGGGCGAGAAGTTTTCTTCCTTCCTCTAGTCAATCTTTCTGAATGCCTTCTCTATAATCCCCTCTATGACCTCCTTCCCTAGTCGCCTCCAAGGGGCACTTCAAGCACCCTTCCTTGCTTTTCTTTGCTTTTATAGAAAGCAAAACCTTTAAAATCCAGACATTTTATGTATTTATGATTTTATTTATCTAGAGGCAGGGTTTTTACCCATTCTCTTTGCCTCTCACATGGTTGAGTCTTACTCAGTATCCACTGAGTACCCCCAGCCCTGGGCTAGAGCGATAGCACGGCGGAGGGCGTTGGCCTTGCACGCAGCCAACATGGCCGACCCGAGTTCGATTCCTCCACCCCTCTCGGAGAGCCCAGCAAGCTACCAAGAGTATGTCGCCCGCACGGCAGAGCCTGGCAAGCTCCCCGTGACGTATTCAATATGCCAAACACAGTAACAACAAAGTCTCCAATGGAGACGTTACTGGGCCCGCTCGAGCAAATCAATGATCAGCGGGAGGGCTTTTACCTTTACCTTATATTCTGCTGAGGCAGGTACCATAATTCTCCCCTTTCACAAATAAAAACGCCCCTTTAGTTTCCAAAAACTAAAGCAAGAAGAAATTAAATAATTTTTCTAAATTAATAAGTGTCAGAACTAGGATCTGAACCTAGATAATGCATGTTCTTGACATCTGTGTAAAAAAGATTCTCGGGAGAGCCTGAGAATATGGCAGGTAGGGTGCTTGCCTTGCATGTGGCCAACTGGGTTCAATCCCCAGCACTCCATAGGGACTACACCAGGAGTGAACCCTGAGCACAGAGTCTGCAGTAAGGCCTATGTGCAACCCCTTAAAAAGAGAGAGAAAAAGAATACCATAAGCTAAGCTCTCCAGAGAAGAAATACATTGGAAAAATCAAAGGAAAGTAAGACTCATTCTAGGCTACATAACAGCAGAAGCAAAGTATAGGGAGAGGAGAGAGCAGGAATGGGGTGGAAAGAATAGTGGTAAAAGGGAAATGGAGGGTAAGGGACTGCAGTTAAGGGACTGAGGAGGAAAGGAGGAGGGAAAGGAGGTAAGAGGAAGTGAAGGAGCAAGGTAGAATGGGGAATGGAGATAAGAGGAAGACAGGTGCAAAGAAGGCAGTCAGAGAAGTAGATGGTCAACTAAGAGTACTATCAGATGAAGGGACAAACTGTTAAAGATTTCTGCTTTGGTTCTCCTAAGAGTAATGATGAGTTAGTGGTGGTGGTTCAGCATAACAAAGGCGATGTGATTGGCTAGGATTTCAGAAAGACAACCTGACCTCTTCAGTGTTGCCCAGCTTCTTCCTAAAGGGGTTTAGCTGGGAGTGAGAGTCCAGTTTGAACTGTGGTGTGTGAGATTCCTAGAGAAACACAGGCACATTTAAACGTGCTTGAATACTGGACTCTAGTACAAGCTCACCTTCTCAGACAGAGCCTCCTCCAGAGTCGCCAGTGCCGTGTCAGTATTACTGGAATCTGTCTGCAAACTCTTCACTCTGTCCTTTAGATTGGTCAGTTGCTTGTCTTTGTCCCTAAGTTGTTCTTGCAAGTTTTCAATCTGAAAGTAAAAAATATTTAAGGCATTATTTTGTGACATATACTTGAAGAGGACCTAACAAGAAAAATGGACCGGAGACCACATATGCAGGATTTATATACCATGTGCATTCAGTGAACAGACATGCCTTGGGAGCCTGTTCTGCACCAAGAACCATATCAGTATATGGCAGACTCTGTGTAGTCATTCACTTACTCCTTTATTCAGTACTAAACATTGTGATATGCCAAATGTTGTCAAGTGGTTGTTTCAAAGTAACCACATGAAGAGCCAAGTAGGTTATCACCAGTAGACTGTTAATGGGAAGAACTTGTGATATAAATCAAATGTAACAAGTACTAAACACTCCATTTGGCAACTAAGTCATGTGCTGGCAACCAACCAACCACTTTTATCCGCTATCTGCAGCCTGAAATAAACACACCAAATAGCCGATTATAACGCCTGCGCTGGAGCCGCCGCAAGGACCTTCTCCCGGGCATTGAGGACATTATCATTCATGTTTTTATGCTCTGCTTTCAAACCACGTATTTCTTATCTAAGGATTTTTAAAAAGTACCACTGTACAAACAATTTATTCATATTAAGGGTTTTTAAATGACAAGGAAAAAAAGCAGTGCAACTCTGAGATAAGTCCATTCAAAATATTTGTGTTCTACACCCAGGCTTTCTCAGGAAATCATTCCAAATGCACGTTTCACAATGTGCGACTCAAAGAAAATTTTGGACTGATTCATTTAGTTTGACTCTGCAAAGGCAATGCAAATAGAAACAGTAGCAGCAGCAATGATGAGAAGGAAGAGGAGGAGGGGTACAAGGAGGAGGAGGAGGAGGAAGAGGAAGAAAGGGAGAGCACAGAGGTGATCGACTACAGTAGCAGCATCACAATAGCCCCAAGTGCAAAGGATGGCACAGCTGGACCTTGGCCTGCAGGCCACAAAACTTGTTTTATTTTTTCAATGGTTTCAATAACATGGATTATGGAGTTAAGCATTTTTCTTTCATTTTTCATTCCTGTCTTCTGCCTTCTTTTTCTCCTTCTCTTCATCCTGTTCCTTCTTTTTTGCTACATTTTTTTTTGCTTTGATAGACTTTCTGGATATTTAGGTTATAGGCCCCAAACAACTTAAATATTCAAAACTAACCCCCCAAAGCAAATAATTTATCAAAATGCCACGAGCTGCTATCCAGCTACAACTGTGAGAATTCACCGATCCTTCATGGAAAACACAAGAACTCCAAAAGCATAATCATCTGCAGTCAAAACAAAGGCTTCCTCCATTCCAGACAAGTATTCATGCAGTTCCGCAACAGTATAAGCAAATATTTTTGTGAACAAGAATATGGATGACTGATGTCACAATGATAGTTATAAAGAAATCATTAGCTCAGAAGAATGAATCTTACATATTAAGTTTATGTTGATATTTTGCTCGAGCGGGCCCAGTAACATCTCCATTGGAGACTTTGTTGTTACTGTGTTTGGCATATCGAATACGTCACGGGGAGCTTGCCAGGCCCTGCAGTGCGGGGGAGATACTCTCGGTAGCTTGCCGGGCTCTCCGAGAGGGGCGGAGGAATCGAACTCGGGTTGGCCATGTTGGCTGCGTGCAAGGCAATGTATCCACATGCACACAAACATTAGTGTAGACCTAAGTGTGCAGAATCATAGTGATTACAAACAAACTGGTTCGGGATAACTCCTTGCCTCTCCCCCCCCCCCATACCCCCCAGGAGAGACAGTATCCCAAACAGGAAAATAGTATGATAGTATGCAGTGGTGGGGATTTGGGGTGATCTGGGGAACAGAGAAAGAAACAAGTTCTAGAGGACTGACTGTAAGTCTATGATAGGGCTTCTTCCATCACCCCCTCACTTTGGACTTTACAAATACGGAATTTCTATCAGAAGTAGGCAGAAGCTAAGAACTGGAAGAATGTGGACTGCTGAGATGTAGGCATGTGTAAGTAACACATCTCTTTATCTCATATTGAAGACCCCCTGCAGAAGTGTCCATCATACAACAGGTGAGAGGTTTAAAGTGCAACCATTTATACATTTAGGGTTGTAATACCAAAGGAAATGTACAAAATTATTAATCTGGCTCCAATCCAAAATTTTCACAAAAAATTGCTAAGAAGAAACACAAGATGCAGAATGGTAAGGGAACTATACCTTAACTTGTAAAGAAATAATAGAGCAATATATGTGTGAGCATATATACTCATTTATTACTGGGACCTGATAAGTAAGATATGTTCCTGAGAGATTTGAGCTGCCACTCCATCATGGCTGGCTCAGAAGGAATTAGCCTCACTGAAGTCATAGATGTACCTCCAGAACAAACCACTGGAGAGGGTGGCAGGCCAGGAGGAGAGAGCTTAGGCCTGGAGGTCAGTCCTACCAAAATCCTAATGGCTTCGAGATGACTCCTAATGTCCCAGACCTCAGTCTGAAGAAGGCTAATCCCCAAAGTGAAGATTATAGGAGTCCCTGGGGCAAAAGCAGTTATTGGCCAAACAGCCACAGACTCCTTGAAAACACATTTGCTTCCCCTCCCACCAAGTCTCCAAGCTCTATGAGAGGAACCTTCCTAGAACTCAGCTCTGATTGTCTTAGAGCTCTCCAATAACCCCCCACTGCCCTCCAGAGAGAGGACAAACTCCCCAACTATAATACATGAAGCCCTCCACATCCATTTGAACCCATCAGTGGATGCCCTGCTTTTAAAACTCCCAGGCAGCCTGCATTTTCCCAGCACCGTACTCTCTTTACAGTCTACGCAAGATTGCTACTCCCTCACCAAATTTTTTTACGCTACCCTGTTAGATATCAATGCATTGATCCCCTCCTCCAGTAAACTTTTTCTGACCCCCCCCACCCTCATACACCTCCCACTCTAGGTAAGTCTTTTAATTCTCACTTTTCACATACTTCTAACATCAACTCTTTACTTGTTTGTCTTTACAATGTGAATGGGAGTTCCATTAAAAGAAAGAGTTTTGCCCAACTCACTTAACCCGCATATTATCTCTCCAGCCAACTTCTATGGACTCTTTAGGCCTACTTACCTGTCAGATCATACCATAATCAAATACTAAGAACTTTACTTCTTCCTGTAATATTTAGATGCATAACAGCGGTAGGGTGTTCGCCTTACAAGTGGCCAACATGGCCGACCCGAGTTCGATTCCTCCGCCCCTCTCGGAGAGCCCGGCAAGCTACCGAGAGTATTCGATATGCCAGACACAGTAACAACAAAGTCTCCAATGGAGACGTTACTGGGCCCGCTCGAGCAAATCGACGATCAACGGGAGGGCCTTTACCTTTACCTCCGATCACTGTTATATTTCTGGCCACAACCTGGAATTGGTTGGAAATAGTACACATATTTATTAAAAGAAAGAAGGAAGAAAAGCATATTAAAGAGAGCACCTTGCCTAAAAGGAAGAGACTGACACAGACAACGGCTGAGTACCTTCAGCTCTGGATTGCACAAGGAAGAAATTAGAAGCACCATCTATCCCCAACATTGCTTTTACCTCAAAAAACTGAAACCAAATCCATTAAATTAGAATATTTATTCTTCCCTACCTCTACCTCTGGTGAGGGCCATTCAATTTTTGGTCTATACAATTTTGATTTCTCTAATGGGATTAGATGGTATTTGTCTTTTAATGCTTGACTATTATACTTTAAACAATGTCCTCAATGTTCACCCAATTATCATATGCGTCAAAATTTCCTTCCTTTTTAAGGTTGAGTACTATCCCATTGTATGTACATACCACATTTTGTGCATCCATTTATTTTTCAATGGACAGATTTTTTTTTCAGAATTTTGCTATTGTAATATGTTGTCATGGTATAATGTACACCTAACTCTTCAAGATACTGCTCTCAGCTATTTTGGAAATATGCCTAGAAGTAAAATTGTTGCAATATTGTATTTTTATTTTGAGGAACAATTTACTATTTTCCATTTTCCACACTAATTATACTGTTATACTATTTACATCATCACCAAATGGTACGAAAATAACTTTTACAGTATATTTTATTGGGGTGGGGGTGGGGTTGGCCCCAAACTTAGTAGAGCTTAGGGGCTATTCCTGGCTCTGTTCTCAAGAATCATAGTAGTAGTGGTAGTTCTCAGGGAACCATATATAGTGCTGAGGAATTTAAACCATGGTCAACCATATGCAAGGCAAGTGCCTTACTTAACCTACATATTATCTTTCCAACCAGACTTCTATAGACTCTTTAGGTCTACTTTCATGTCAGAGCAAATATTAAGAACTCTACTTCTTCCTCTAAGATTTGGATGCTTTATATTTCTTTTTATTTTCCATTTGCTCTGTCTAGAAGATCCATGACTACAGTGAAGAGAAGTGGTTAATGTGGTCATTTTTGCCTTGTTCCTGATCTTAGGGGAACACATTTCTATCTTTTACCAAAGGGTAACTTTGCTGTGACTTTGTCACATATCGATAGTATTGTTTTGAGAGAGTTTTGTTCTATTCCAGTTTTGTTAAAAAGATACTTTAAATATCTAAAGATCTTGAATTTTATAAAATGTTTTTTAAGCAACTGAGATGATCCTGTGTATTTCCCCTTCATACTATTAATGAGGTATATGTAGTAGTACGTTGATTAATTTTTGCATGTTAAATCATTCTTACATCCCAAGAATAAATCAGAAATAAATCCCACTGGGTCATATGATATATCATTATTTTAATAAATATTTTCATTTGATTTTTGAAATATTTTGTTTAGGATATTTGTATAAAATTGCATTAAATGATTTTTGGTTTATTTTTGCTTATCTTATTACATGATGCCATTTTTTCATTTAGGGTTTAAACTATCTCATAAGAATCAAAATATTTCTTCTTTCCTTTTCAGGATGAAATTGAATGAAATTAGTATTTTCCATTACTTTTTGCTAAAACTCTCCAGTAAAGCTCTCTGGGCAAAAGCATTTCTTTTATCAGAAG